AAAGACGTATTCTAAATACACAATTCAAAATCATCACCCTCATTCTTAACAAATAAGCCCCCCCAAAAAAGACCTCAACAAAAAACAAGAAGTTGAGCCTTTCTAATTCTATACAAGCCACTTTTGTTCGAAACCCCATCTCATTATGTAAACCGCAAAACAAATAATATTATGTACACAGATCTACATACATACTATGTACATTCATTAGCTACAATTAATATCATTATTACCCGATTACTATTACCAGGTCTGTGGTTAACGTCCTCGCCTCGTTTGCTCAACCTCCCAGCTTCAAACAGCGATTACGAAGTCTACTATTTGAATAATGTGTATCTGAAGTTGAAATAATAACAGGCCAGGCTATCTCATACGACTACCACAATTTCATTGAAAATAAACATTATTATAAATAAATCGATTATGAGAGAAGCAAAGTATCGTATCTCTATGACAGACTTTTTTTTCAAGCCGAGAAAAACAAAACAAAAACAAAACAGAACAAAAAACCCCTACCTTATTTTCATCTACAGCAGTAGCCTACCCCTCAATCACGACACTTTTCTGTTCAGGCTATTTCTCCAGCTTTTTGTAACCTTAATGTATTCCTGTTTGTTTGATGAAAGATATGATAAGTCTTGTGGTTTACTGTCATACATTTTTCACCTCAAAAGTGTTGTATCTGTTGATACTATAATTTTCTTTCTCGTCTCTGACAAGCTTTGTCTCGAGAAGTTCATCATTGAAAGCTTGTTTTTCGTGGGGAGATGGGAGGGGGGGGGGGAGGTTCTCGTTAGTTGTAACAATAATGCAGTCTTGGATGGGGTGTAGTGTAGCTTATTCAAACAATGAGTGAGTCCATTTTCAGCACAAAAAACTAGATCTAAAGAGAACGAGTGGAATATTCTGTGAAAGTTTAAAAGTGGGATTACGCATAATTTGGGTTGAATCCTTTGTTCTGGTTTTGTGTGTATAGGTGATGTTTCCGTGTGTCTGTCAGTGTGAGTGTGTCTGCTTGTGTGAGTGTATTTATAAGTCAAGTTGAGATGTGTGAATAAGCGTGGTGGTCTAAAATCGATAAGAGTAGGCTTCGGCCACCACCCAGGCAAAATTCAAAATTTCCTACCAACTGAAAATATTAGGTGTGTCCCGCGCGCTCATATGACCTTATGCAGTTGCGAGCGCCGTAAAACACTTTACCAAAAAAAACAAAAAACAAATACTGAAATTATAACACTAAAGAACTGTGAAAATTAAAATCGCCATGAAGTAGGCAACCGCTGGTTAATTTGTTAAGACAATGAGTTTTCAATAGTCCCTCTAAAATCCTGTCTCCTTTCTTGTAGTCATGGTTGTGGTAGATTTTTGAGAAACAAAAAAAAAATGAATTGTTTTGTTGTTTTCAAATACACCGATTGTTGGCCTTAGTTTCGCTTGGAGAACTATTCGTGAGGCACTGAGGTGAAATCAGGCGCTCGTCAAAATAACAAGATATAAGAAACAGGCAGTTTGACAATTTTCATCGAATTTTTGTTTTTGGCTCAACACCATTCGTGTTCATATAAAAACACATTTCCATGTGAATTTTACTGAAAAACGTTGATTAAAGGCATAAAATAAAATGTAATTTCATCGTTTTCATTGACTCTAAAGCTATTGAAATTATCAAACTTTGGCGGCCATTTTCTCTCTAATCTTACTGCTGAAACCAAGCGACCTCATCTCCTTCAAACGCAAATATGACGAGTTCTATTTAAGATAGATGGACATTTTTCAAATGAAAGCAAGGCAAATAAATAAATAAGCTTTCGGATGGTACCAATACCTCCACATGCCCAAATATTGACGATCGCCTGATTCCACCTCGTTGTGACACATTGTGTGATAGTCAGCATTGGCTGTTGTACCAACGGGACAGGACAGGTCAAACCCACAACTTAGTAATCGAAAAACATAATGCACACCACATTCAAACCAGCTTGCTTTGAGTTGAGCTTTCTGGGATCGTGTTAGTTCTTGGTTTTTCGCTTCTGCTGATTGTCTTTTCAGTTTTTGATCCCAAAAATATACTCATGTTTCATCACCTATTGTGTTCTTCTTTTTAAAAAAACGATGTCCCTTTTTTCCATGCGACTGTTATTTCTATGCTAACCCCACCCCCCCCCCCCAAAAAAAATACAAAAAACAAAGAAAGACTTAAGGGGGCAGCGATTTGAAAACAAGGAAGAAATTATTCTCAAAGCAAATTAGGCTACCTTAGGGTCTCTGGTGGACTCGAACTTTGCCACAGCGTTTGACAGATGAGGAAAAAGTGCATTCAGATCAGCGCTTGTTATGTTGAATAGAAAACACATTTTCGTAGGTGTGTAATTGCAAAATATCACGTCTGTAAAACAATTTTTGATTCAATAGAACAGGGAAACTTACATCAAAGACAGACCACCTGACGCGCCTTATTTATAGTGACGTTTGGGTTTTTTTGTAGCGATTTCAGATACACAGTATTTCCAAAAGAAACCTTTCTCATATCCGTCCTGACGTGAGGTCTTATCCACATCATGCGTTTGCCTCGTGATACAATTTTTTCTCAAGTGTTAAGGCATGTCTTGTTTCCATCTTCTTTATAGTGCATCCACAGTCAGGTTTTTCCAACAAATGTTTCCTTAAAAGTCTTACAAATCTATGTTCCTACTGTTCTGACTATACTTATTTGCTTACTTAATTACTCACTCCCTAAACAGCCTGTTACACAAGGCGATGAGCAGTCGACACCACGTGTTTGTGTCCCTGGCCAATCTCGGCATATCCAGGCCCTGGGCGATTGCCTCATCCCTTATAGTGCCTCTATAGTGCCTCTATAGCTTCCAGTTGGTCTTCCTCGTTTGTTTTTTCCAGTTGGTTTCAAATACTACGAGTAGGCGTGTGGATGTGTTGATATCCTAAATTCATGCTCTTTCCAACACTTCTTTATTTGCAATGAACTAATTATATTTCATTAGTAAAGATTTTTAGTAAACATTTTGTACCGAAGCTTTTTTCATTTTCGTTGAATTGTTTTGTTTGTTGCCCATGTCTCTGACCCATACGTCAATACAGACAAAAATATTGCTATTCTTATATTTATTTTAATTTCGTCTTCAATGAAATGATCTTTAACTTCCATACATAGTTTCTAATTTCACAAAAGCGATCAGGGTATTTTTAAGTCTTCCGTGGACGTCGTCAAGGCAGTCTGCAGTTTTGGATTTAATGCTGCTAAGGTACTTGAATTTAATAATTATTTCTACTTGGGGTTCTCAATAAAGAGTGATGGGCGTAGTTTCTGATAATAGTCGTAGTACTTCTATTTTAGATACATTTATTATAAGGTCAACTTTTTCTGCAACTTTTGCTAGTACTTCTGATTTTGATTGCATTTCATGTACTTTGGTGTTTAATAGGCAGATGTCATCCGCAAAATCTAAATCTGTTAAATATGTGCCACTTGTCCATGCAATGTTTGTTTTAATGTCTTTGCTCTGTCTCATTACAAAATCGATCACAATTCCAAAAAGTACAGGTGATAATATACAGCCTTGTCCAACAACAGTATTTACTTAAAAAGATATAGATAGTTCTCTTTCAACACAGCAGCTTGCTTTGGTATAATATAATGATCTTATACAGTTTCTTACTTTTGTTGGGATGCCATATATTGCAAAAAAATTCAACAGGGCCTCTCCGTCAACTTCGTCTAAGACTCAAGTCCAGTAAGTTTTTAAAAATTGAGACATTTCATTATTTGTTTTGTTCTGCGATATTTCTCAGAACAAACAGTTGATCTGAACATTACTTATCCGGTCGAAAACCAGCCTGTTCGTCTCTTAGTCTCTCATCTATTGCTGTTCTGATACGAGACAAGATAATAGAGCAAATTAATCTTGCAGGCATTGATAAAAGCGCGTTTCCTTTCTAATTGTTACAGTCTTTTAAGTCCCCCTTTTAAAATAGGTTTTGTTATAATTTCCTTTCTCTGTTCCATAGGCGTGTTTTCTTTTTTTTTAAATTTGTCAAATATCAAGAGTAATATCTCGTTACTTTCTTTTCCAATGGTTTTGAGCTTCTCGGCGGCAGTTTGTCTTCTCCTGGACTTTTGTTTCTTTTCGTTTTCTTGGCTGTTGCTAAAATTTCCGGCTTGGTTATTTTGTCCATACTTGTGTTCAATTCCTCCATTGGTTGTACTTGGTCAAAGTTGAATTCCTTCGGGGTTTTTTGTCTTCTAAAGTTGTTCTGACAACACACACACACACACACACACACACACACACACACACACACACACACACTACCTATCTATCTATCTATCTATCTATCTATCTATCTATCTATCTATCTATCTATCTATCTATCTATCTATCTATCGTTACATCCATTCGCTTTTAAAACTTCCAGA